CCCGCCGGCCGGCCCCGCTCGCGCTGCCTGCCCGCCCGCTCGGCTCAGCTCGCTCGCGGCCGAGCCGCCGCACCCCTCCCCCCCGCTCGCGGGCCGACCAACCACACAGCGCCCGCCCGGGAGGCCGCGCGTCACTAAGGCGCGCGGGCTGCGTCACTAGAGCGGGGACTTCCCGGCGGCCCCCGCGCTTCTGGGCACCGCCCGCTCGAGGCAAGCCAGGCCAGGCCAGGCCGCCCCGTTCCCGTCCGGGGCCCTCCAAGGGCGGGAAGGGGGAATCCACGCCCGGGGAACGGACAAGCGAGCGAGGCTCGGTGCGGGCTGGAAGACCGGGAGCGAAGGTTTGTGAGGGAGTGACGGCGCTGGTGGGGACGGGCTCCTCCGCCTTCTCCTCGCGGAGCTCCGCCGAGCCCGGGGGCACGACTTACCTACCCTGTACCGGGCGTAACGAGAACCCCCTCCGACCCCCCGCCAGGGACGGGGGTTCCCTTGTGTCTGCCGGGGAGGAGCAGGGTAGGGGAAGGCGGCGCGGGAGGCCCGCGGAAGCACCGGGAACGACCGCCTGTGAGTTTGCCATCCCTCGGTCTGGGCGGATGGGGAACAGGTTGGGAAAAAAAAGCTTCCACACAGCTGTTTCTTCCTCAAAGAGGAAGTGCGTTTCTGTGACATTTTTTAAATGTAAAATATTTAAGTTTCTTTCATTTTTTTCTTCCAATTCTAATAAATGTAAAGTTGAGAAAAGTCTGTGGCTCTACATCTTACGTAGAGCATTGATCTGCCCCTGGGAGTGATGGAGCAGAGCACAAAATCACAACCACCTACCCCGTGTAGAAGTCACTACAAACGTGCAGCCTAAAAAAACCCAGAATGTACTAAAAAAATTACTGATACAGAATGAGACACAATACTTAACCGAGAGAGAGCTGTGATGTGGAACCTCTTCCACCAAAAATGAAAGCACCTGTCACAGCGCACATCTGAAGAAAGAGTATATCAAACCCAGCAGTTTGGGGGAACTCAAACCAGGAAGGATGATTCCGAAAGCCTGAAGAAACGTCAACCAGTAGTAATGGTGGAGAAGGAACTGCTTTTAGAAGGAATTGTACTGGGTAGTGTTGTACTGCCCAGTATTTGTTTCATAGTGGTTTTTTTAACCTCATTGGTATCTTCCCAGTCCTCCTCCATGACTTGCTCCTCCATTTCTTAGTCCTGCTTTCATGGTTATGTAAAGGAGATATAAATTTCTAAAGTCCCAGCAGAGTAGAATTGCTTTCCAGATATTTCTCCTAATGAACTGCACTTTCAGCACTCTAGCATCTCTTCCTCTTCTCCTACCCTACCCCCATAAATACATTTTATGTGCTGTGGGATGACTTGCAGTGATAGATGATCCCCTCCAGGACATGGAACACATGGGTTGAGAAGTCACCTGCAAGAACTGCCTCATCTCATGTAAGCTGCTGGTGTGTTACATCTGTAGATCAGTTTTAGGCTGAGGCTCTATTTCTACAACATGATTATCAAAAAAGGTCTACTACAATATAATCATCAAAATACAAGAAAAATATTATTTTAGCCTGGATTTGTAACTTTGTCGAGGAAACAGTTATCGTGCTAAATTTCACCTTGGGGGAAGGGAAGGCAGGGCATTATGTATTTCCGTTATGGGAAGAGCAAGACAGAGATACAGACCGTGCCCGTTGGTAACAGACATCCATCAGTCATAACGCTGACTTCTGAAACAGTACTTGTGGGGGGAACTGATAAAATCACTCCTGCACTGGACATACAAGAACTGGGCAAATTTGAAACAAGATTCCCTCTTTTTGATGCATGCTAAGTATATCAACACTCTAAACACGATTTTCTCTTCAACACGTGTGAAAGGCAGCTACACTATGTTTGCTCTGTAAATTCAAGTGCTGCTTTATTTACTTATTTTACTTCCATTTTACTTATTTAGAACAATTTCCATATGGTGACATGCCTTTAATAACACTCATGACTCAGAAAATACTTGTCAATGTAGTCAAACAATGTCTATTGACATGAGTCACTGAAGTTAAATAAATGTTATTAAGAATGAGACAAAACAAAAGGCAAATATATATATATCCAGCAGAATGATAGGGATCATCACCATTTGATCAATCTTCCCTGTGAGTTATATCTGCAAGTTACTTTGAGGTAGCGCTAGAAAGAAGCTGTTGGTCCAAGAGCATCCCTGCAAAAAGAAACATTCACGGCTTAAGTACCATTTAATCTTTTTGTACCTTCTTAAGTACTCTCTACCCTTTTTTGGCCCGTTTCTTTCTCCCTGTTCACTGACTGCAGGATTAGTAGCCCCTCAAACCATCCTACTAAAGCCATTCTGTTCAGAGGTGATAGAAAACAAAACCACTACTCTTCTTGGAGAAATTAGCAGGTTTTGAGTAAAGGCACTATCTATTGCACCTAGGTGCAATGAAGAGTTTCTAAAACCTATATTAGATATTCTTGTAAAAAACCAAACTTCATCAAGCTTAAAAAAAATAAAAACCAAAACACTACTATATTTCAGCTGGGCAAAATGGAGACAAAACAACTGGAAGAAGTGAAATACTGCAGTGCTGAAAAACTTGCTTCTAAGATTTTTTTATTATTTACTGGTTTGGTTTTTTTAAATGCTCCCACTGCCATCAGACCTTTGTAGAACTGATAGCAGGCAGCTGTACGATGTGTTTGGGTCTTTGCATAAGCTACCTAATGCAGGCTGGTAGTTCAAGTTTACTCAGTAAAAAGCCTCAGCAATGCATTCTCTAACAGTTCTGATGCATTCATTTTCTCCTGTGTTTGGCATTTGTGGGCAACACACCAATACAGGAAGAAATTCTGCATTCAGTATCCCTTCACAGTAAAGAACGTGCACAGCACACACCAGCTTAATCCCACGTATACACTCCTAACTGGAAAGAGGAATTGGCTAGTAAGGCTCAGGAGACAGAAAAAGAGGTCGGAGAGCTATTTTAGAACAAAGTCACATGGGCTGCAACCAACACACTCTCTTCCTCCCCTCATTTTTCTTGTATATTGACTGGAAGAAAACACACCCCCAACATTTCTCAGGTTTGGAGAACGAATGGCCCAAACAACCTCTTCCATTGCATTACATAAACAGTGCTTTCACTATATAAGCACCTTACAGCTCGAAACAGAATGTGCATGTATGTCTGAAAACAGCCTCTAATGCAGAACATAAAGACCTTGTTAATAGGTAGAGTTTGCGTAACTGGGGTGGATACAGACTGGCATTTTTGAGGTTTATGTACTGTGGTGATAGTGTCAGACTAAGCGACATCACACAGCTACACAGCCCCCTCATTACACAGTTCACACACAGATCAACCCCCCAAATGCCAAAAATCAGCACAGATACTCCATAATATTTCTGCTGAGCCACCACACATCCTTAGCATCATGTTTTTAACTGTTAACACAAAGTGGCAGCAAGTAATTTGTGGAAACCTTTAAGTATGGTGTTAGGTAAGCCACTTTAAAGCAGGATAACACACAGGCACGGACCTGGAAGCTGTCTTGCTGCTTGTGGTGATGGTACTTACTAGATACAAAATCCTTAGCTCAGCAGCCGTTTGTACTACCAAGCTCAAGCACCACAGCTACACACTCTGACTGAAGTGGCATCAAATCCCATAGAGTTTTGAAGCTTTAACACTCCCATCCAAATTCAAAAGGCCTGCATCTAGTATCTTGAGTTTCCTCCCTACTGCAGTCCCCTGCAACAATTCTACACACGCACACAAGTGCCTCCTTTCCCACCCAGGTCCTCTTTGCTTATTCCACCTTCTGCCACATTCTCATTGATCTCCCCATCATCACCCTCCAAAGACTTAATAGTTCATGCAAGGGCAACACCCAAGAAATCCAGGTTTCCAATACCCTGCAACTACCTCTCGTCAAAGCAGGGAAACAGTTCCTAAAACTACAATGCTACTCCCCCTGCCTAGATCAGTTCTGTTGGGTTTTTGTTTGGTTTTGCTTTCTCTTTCCTCCTACACATACATGTTCACAAAACTGAGAAAGTATTAACTTCCTATAGTACTCCAAAAGCTTTTTCTGTTTTAGAACATCTGCATTTCATGGGTGAGACCTTGAGAATACTCCTAGCTGAAGGGGGAGATTGAGGTCAGCAGCTAGTCAGTGCTGCACCATCTCTCCACAATACAGTACTTGTCTTAAATTTAAGAACATCATATAGATTATGACCACCACTTTAATTACATTGTCATAAAAAAAAGCCAGAGACCTTTACTCCTATCTGTCATCATAGCAATTATGGTTTAGACTGCCCCCAGAACACACATGGCAGTAGCAAAATGTTCTGACTAGCTTTAACAGCTTCCACAGCTATTAGCTGTGATAATTTCTGCTATTTCTTTTTCTTGGAAGAGTATTCTTCTGTTTCCAGCCTAATTTATTTTATTGTTATGTACATGAAGTAGTAAGCCCTTTTGCATACACATAGGCTTAAGTAGTCCCTAAGACTGAAAAATACTTCATACCCTTCCAGGACAAGAGCAGTTTAGAGGAAGTCACTCAGAAGTTGCTATCTTAAAGCAAAACTTTCCTCATTGCTATTTCCTATGATCTCCTTTGACTTCAACACTGAGAACTGTTATCCTACTAAAATTTTATAACCTCATCACCACAAAACACCTGAGCATGGAAACTGAACAAATTACAAAGATGTTTAAGATAGTAACAACTCTTCAACTGAATTTCAACCTAGGAGAGGTTCTTGTTCCTGTGGGGTTATTTTCCCTCCTTTAAACCAGAAAGTTATTTTCTCCAAGGGTTTTTAGGTTTAATCACACGTATTATGTCACACCAGTTTCTTTGCTGTGAAGTGTCAGTTGAGAAGGGCAGGAATAAAATTGCCAGTAGGGATAAGCCTTAGTCTTTGGAATGTTTGCAGCTATGGCAGATGAAAGTTTGCCCTTCTGTATGTTTAAAATAACATCTATTATGTCTCAGCAATTCTAGCTGACTTTGCAGATGACAGCAGTACAGTTAGCACCAGCAGACTGCAGGAGAAAGAGTGGGCCCAGGTGTTCCCATAGCAAACCATGGGAGTCTTTCCTAAATGCACAGGTAATCTAAGAAAGCATGCCAAGAGCTTGTAAAGGGTTACCTAGGTCACTTGGAAATCCACAAGAGCTAGTTTTTGCTACTGTCCTGATGCCCATACCGAAGACAGAAATACCCCTGCTGCCTCCAGCTAAATTCCACAAGCCAGAAGAGAATGTGCTTCACATATGTAAGTAAAATCCCTTGCTGGCAGGTTTGCAGAAACAAAATTTTATTTACACAGGCAAGTCTATCTTTAGACCCCATTGAACTCTTTACATTTCTAGAATATTTACATGATTTCAAGATGCTTCAAGAGTGATGATCAAAAAAAAGATTACAGAAACTGTCAAAAGCATAGCAAAAAAACCCAACCTATCATTGTGCTTTAAAACTTATGATCTAGAGTAATGTAGAAGAAATGTAATTTTAGCACCTTGGTCATAACGGTCATGCTATATAAGACACTTAAATAGCAGGGGGGATGTCAGAAGTGACCGTATCCAGAGGTTGCCAGTGACAATTCATGAGGGAATCATAGAGTTCTTCACTTGTCTCCATAAATTGTCTGTTCATTTCATCAACATCGAAGTAAAGCTGTGGATCTGAAAATAAAAGCCTGGTAAGTACAAGTGTCAGATCTTGGTAGGCACACACACAAACACCTGCCATAAATGTCTAATAAAATTGTTTAGCTGAAATTAATATGTTTAATAGTAAATGTAGTAAGATGTTTATTCACCTAGAATTAAGAAACTTGACAAGTCCAGCTTCTTGACCAATTTGTGTATTAGAATGTTAGGACTATATTCATATTTCAAGATAAAGACCAGGTTTGAGGATAATTAACCATTAAACTTAGCCAGATTCCATTTAATTCATTTCTACTACAATGTGTGTTACACAGGACAATGTTTCTGAATACTAACACAAGATGCAAGTAACTGTCTGCAAACCTTCCAGGCCAAACAATTCAGTTTTGTATCAAATCTTTAAGTACAAGTTGAATCCTCCTTTTTGGACCAGCAACATAAGATTTACTTCAGGATGTGGAAAATGACGCTTTCACTTATTAATGACTTTAACACAGAATATGTTTAGCAGAATCAATACAAAGATATGACAATTTCTGTATTACACAATCGCTACTGTGAAGCGTTGTCAGTGTCCCATTCTACTCGACATGATGTACAATATCAGGTTTAAAATGCAACCTCATCTCAGCTATAACCCACAGAAAATCCCACTGTATCAGCTGAATTTCCAAGACAACCTTCATCCAATAGTCACTGGCTTGTATTGGTAAGGGCACAAGTATGGCTAAATTCAAGTTGCAGTAATAGAATCATCATTACCTTCAGTTATTAGGTCATCATTGATTTCAGTCATAGCTGCAGTTTCCTTTAAAAAAAAAAAAGTATAAATTTAATCACAGTACATCTCAGAAAGCATCACAAATCCAAAATAGTTTTGTAGTCCCAAATCATTTTCCAGTCCCACAACTACAAGACTAGACAGGGGATTTTTGTGTTTGTTGGGGAGCATTTATTTGTTGGTTCTGCCAGGTTTTTTCAGTTGTTTTTTGTTGTGTTTGTCTGTTTTGTTTTAATCAGAAAACCATAATACAGCTCAGGTTCGAAGAGACTTATGGTTGTAATTGATAAATTGGACGGTTTAAGATAAGACCATCTTACACTAATTCTTTAATTTGCTTGAAGCAAAGTACATCAGAAAAACAGGAAGAGAAGGAGCCTACACAATTACACTGTCAGAACTGTAATTTGGCATAAATGAACAAGTAATGGTGTCTGTAATTCTATAGAGGCATTACTTAAGCACTTAAATCAAATATACCTCTGAATGAAGCCTACTATCCTAACCTCCACACTAAGCTGAAAGCACAATTTCAGTTTTGGGACTTCTTTTTGCTCTGACTTACAGAATTCATACAACTTATTCGTGATTTTTTTTTTCTTCAAATGAAGTGCATAGCATCTTTACCTCAAACACAGCTGGGGCCATAACAGCATCTCCTAAAGAGCAGTCTCCAACAGCTTGCATGCTATCATAGGGAGTATAGGAGCTGTAGTTGTAGTCAGCATAGGGATCATAACCCCACTGTGAGTAGTAGTTCTGATAATCTTGGTAATAATCATTATAGTTGTATGACTGGTACCGCTGGAACTCTGCTTTAAGTCTGAAACATGAAAAGTTATATACAGTTAGAATCTGAAAACAATAAACTGTAAACCCAATTCTCAAGTTAAACGGTTTGCCATCTTATGCATTTCAAAGTTTAAAAGGAAGCTTTTCTGAGTAGTTGCCTAAGCAACAAGTCAAAACCACAGCACACGATCTCATGTTTATACAGAAGCAAATGCTCTCCCTTTTGCCCATACCAGAAGTAATTATTAAATGGATTATTACATGGATTAACTCAAGCCATGACACTTATCTGTACTCATTTTGAGTGGTTTTAGCATCTGTATATGCAAGCTGCTGATGTATCTTTGTGCTCTGCTTAAACTAATTTACTAAGACCAGAGACATTTATCAAGCACAGCTGCTTTAAAGATGCATTCAGTCTCAACTGGCCCTTCTATCTTTTGTTCGGTTTATATTAAACCTTACTTCCAGAAGCAAGGGGATGAAGTCAGATCATCTGGTTTAGAACAGCATCTGACACTACCTGCCAGTTTGCCATCTACCTCCACTTGCTCTATTTTCAGTCCACGACACATTCAACAGTCAGACTATAGCTGTCAGATGAAGTCAGCACTGCCATTATCCAGTATGAAGCCAAATCAGTAGGAAAATGACAAAACTCATTGGTTCTTAAGACCAAAGGGCCAGCTGCTGTTTTCACTACTTTCCCTCTCCTGAGTAGATTTTCTCAGGGACAACTTCACACTATAGACGAGTCAATGCACAAATGTTGTCTGTACTAGAACACAAGTACACTACATTAAATACATTCAGATAACTCAACTGCACCCTTATAAAAAAAATCCTCTATGCTTAGATATTTCTTCACTGATTATGTAAAGGGAGAGCTCCTGTGTTTGCAGAGTCCAATTTTTCTGCATCTCCAATTCATTACAGAAGAGTCAGCTCTAGGCTTTTTTTGCCAAGAACACAAACTAAAGGAGCTCAGAAATAGAGGTTCCAATAGAAATGACTGTGACAAACTACTCTCATGGCTGGATATTTTGACGCTAGGAAAGCTTAGTACCCAGCCATTCAGAAACAGATACAGATTACTGGTATATATTTTAATACCTACATTTCATTTGTTTCATTACTATAAAGCTACACATACATTCTAATTAATAGGTATTGTCTTGCTACTGTAGTAAACAAATGACCAGATAATGTCTCAAAGCCTTCTGCTTTCAACTTCTCTCCTACATACATCTCTGTAGGAAAGAAAAGTCTGAGAATATTGTTGACATTCTTCAGGATAGCAGAAGTGAAGAAACCTGTTTTTGTGACCTCTTCTTGTTTTCAAAATAGAGCAGTGCTCTCTCGGGTAAGAGCATTTCCCTTCTAAAGCAAAGGGGCAACATCTGCAGAATTACCAAAGGTAAAGAGAAGCTGTTATTTTTACTATTTCATTGAACATACAAGCTAACCTCATGAATATACTGAAATTGTTTTATATAAAGTTCTATTTTTTCTGTATCCTGGATTAAAGGTTATGAAATTTGGTATTAAAGTTCAGAAACTTGAATTGCCCTAAGTAACTGAAGGAGCTGAGCCAGCAGAGTAAAAAACCCTCTCAAAACCAATCAATTTTAAATTGCTTGCTGCCCCACTATCTTGAAAAGCAAAGAAAAGGATTCTAAGCAAACTGTTCCAGTAACATCTCCTTTGATTTTTCCTCCCCTATATTCTGTATTTTTCCACTTACAAATTCCTTCCTCTGACAGCCTACTGTAAAACTAGCAATGTGCTACCTTGCCTGAACTAGAGGGAAAGGTCTGGAAGAAGAGCTCCCTAACACAAACCCCCTTGTTGTCCCTTCTACCTTCTTCAGGCCCAAACCTGGAAGATATTTATGAATGCATTCAGCTTGGCTACTGTAAGAATTAAGGTTTGTTACAACAGCAACTAAGCCCAAGTTACACAATCTGGTTAGACTCAAGAGTTGGGTTCCCCCAGCAATCCTGGAAGAGGTTGATGAATCCAGGGAGTCAAAACATAATGCTTCTATATTTTCAGTTTTGTAGACTGCATCATGTGTACAGCCATCATTAGCAAGGACCACAGACTTTATAAAGGCAGAGCTACGAGAATCTGATTATTTAGAATTACTATATTAATGCACAACTGATTTGTTACCTTTTAGAAATTCCTATGCTCAGCCGGATTCGTTTTCCCCCCAGACCTGGTGCATTCTGGCAGTCTTGCAGTGCCCTCATCTGATCACCTTGCTCACCAAATCTGACAAAGGCATACCCTCTACAATTTTCAAAAGGGAGAAAACAAGTTCTAGTACGCATAACAGTTACAAAGCTAATTAATTCAATTTCTGTCTTCTACAAAACCAGAAGATAGTAGATACTATAGCTTCTATTACCTAAGCAACCTCTCTGGCATGTGCACATGCACATAAGATGCTTTCACTAAATTAAAAACTAGGGCCAGAAGCAAAAAGCTTGTTCTTTGATAGCATTAATTAAGATGCAACTTGCTGAGAGCTAGCAAAATAATACATTTTAACAGCTATCCGCTTAAGTAATCTGATTCCATATTTCTGCATTTACAGCAATTAATTTATCAGTTAGCATTAATCCACTCCTACCACTGTACAGCACTAATATTCTAAGTTTTTCAAATTAGCCTATTACAGCCAGCATTGTTCAAACAGCAGACTCACACATTCCTGCTTGACTCACTGCCTGGCCAGTATAACCTCTGCTAGGCTGTATTTACTCATATTAATAGGTTCTCTCCCAATCATGTAAGATTTGCCAGGCCTTATGCTTTTCTCATGCATGTAAAAAGAATTATTTTGTCTTCAGTACTGCAGATGACTAAGCAGACATGCTGCTCTATGCAAGCACACCACCACATACTTCGGTGCACAGCTCTCCCTTCTCCCACCATCTTAACTTCTTACACAGAAATATGCATGTAGCTAAGTTGAACTTACATTAACCGCTTAAACTAACCAGAAAGCTTTAGAAACACAAGGATTTGTACTGATAAAAAAATAACACTAATCTCTCTCTTCCTGCCTCTGTAGAAATTGCAGAAACAGTTTCAACACAAAATCTTACATATTACTTATGGAAGCAAACATATTGACCATATCACAAACTTTCGCAGTCATTACCTGGAATATCCCAACAGGTCTGTTGCTATTTTGCAGTCAATACATGAGGGGTACCTCTTTAGGAAATAGTCATAGAGCTGGAAATCATCCACTTCTGGAGTAAGTTCCCCAACAAATATTGAATAATCTGGTCTTTAAAAAGAAAAAGGAGAACAATTGTCAAGTTTGAGACTAAGGTAGTTGACTGCAGTATTAAGGTACCTAACATACGTAACATACAAGCACGTTGTTATTACTGGATAAATAAGGAGCTAAAATCTGAATAGAGTTATAACTGTAAAACTCTCCTGAGTAATATACAGAACTGCAAAGCCATCACCCCAGCATAAAGCTCTCACTTTTGCAAAAAAAGCATTTCAAAGACCCACTTTATAAAAAAAACTAAACACTTTTACAAGTTGGTTTTTAAAAGTAGTAATTGTCAGGGGAGAACCGCACAAAAATACCAAGAAAAACTATTAACTCAAGTTCCAGCCATGATTCAAAAGAGCTGTGACTATCTTGCCACCATTTCTCATCAATTATGGGAGAGATGAACTATAAAAAAAACCCTGTTCTATTTGCAATACATTTCTATAAGCAATACTTGGTGTACAGGCATCACATGTGCCATTTCAGGATTTCAAGAGTAAGTGATAGCACTCAGTGGTCACTATCAATTTCAACGGTCAAGGGGTCAGAGCTTCTCCTTTCAAAAGGTCTTTACCTGGCTGAACTACTACTAGGGACAAATTCTATTCTTCCTGGTTTTATTTTGTTCTTTTTCTTCCGTTTCTTCTGTGGTGTTCTCCACCAGCTGTAGGCCTGGAGACATTCTCTTTTTTTCGCCATTAAGTCCTGTTGGGAGAAAAAAAATCACCTTTATAGTATTTAGCCTTATTTACATTCCTCCCTCCCACTCCCCATCACCACAGGTGATTTCCCCATATTCACCTTGCCCTTGAAAGAAGCCTGGGGTCCCATTTCTCCCTCCGCCTCCCATGAGGGAAAGCAGCCTCTGGGGAAAATGCCTGGCAAAAATAACAGAGCCAAAGGATTGTATGAACAGCCATATTCCCCTGACTTGTCAAGCTGGCTAAAGGATTGACAGCTTCCTCCTGGAATTAGGGAAAAAGCAGATAGCCCTTCGATGTTGGCCAATCCTAAATGTTCATTAGCTTCGGGACAGGACTGTGTTCCACTTGAGCTCCAGGACTCAAAAAACTCTGCAGCAGCACAGTCTGAGTGACGAAGAGGCGGGGAAATCATCAATTCTGCCTAGAAGGGATCTCAGCTGTCTATCTCCCCTCACCTAGGAATTCTTCTCTTATGTGAGATGCCTCCCCTCACTACCCAGCTGTGAGTCGCTCTCCCAGGCCAGGAACAACAGGAGGCCGATTAATGGAATGTAAGGAGAAAGCAGACCAGGAACAGGCACTAGCTTGGCTGAGGGAAAACTCAAACCCAGACACAATGCCAGGAAGAGAGAGGCAAAAAGAGTGCCTCTTGGAAAAAAAAAAACAAAACCACACACCACCAAAAACCCGAAAACCACCATGAAAAAAGGAAGTGAGTTAACTAAAAAGAGGAGGAAAACAACAGCCATATTAACACAGGTTGCCTCCCTCACTTAAGATTCTGAAGAACAAGGATGTTCAAAAATAAGAATGGCGTTTTGCAGAATTTTTTACTTACGCAGGCTTTAGTGTTCTTCCTCTAGAACACCTCTACATACATCTTATATAGAGAGTGTTATGTGCAAGGTCCTTCAGAAGAACCCATGCTCAAATAATCCAAATTGCAAAACTTAATGTTACGCCCCAACCTGCTTCAGTTGATACAATTAAGTGTCCAGAGGACAGCCACCAATTACTGCATTACCAGAAGAAATCATAGGACTAAAAGAACACCCAACTCAGAGCAAGCTAGCTATTTCAGCTTTACATTTACTAGGAATTCTGAGTATGGTTCTGGAATCCATTTAGGCACTGCAAGCCTGAATTTCTGACCAAATGATCTTACCTGGCTTGCCATGGCTCAAGCTCCCTTCTGCCTTTCTCAAAGACGGCGGCTGCGCAGGTTGACTTTACTGCACTCCTTCAGCAGAAAAAGATGTAGGGGAGGAACAAGAAAATAAAGAATCTTAACCTTGAGATTAATTACTATCAAAGATGCTCACCACCCTACCTTATGTTTTTAGAATTTTTCATTCAGAACTTAGAAATTTAAGTCCTTACTTGTCACTGCTGAAGCAATAGAGGTTAAAAAAAAAGACACACAGCCAATGGGATTATGATTAGAAGTCATCTTCATTTTCTTAAATTATACTAGTCCACAAAGTTTTCCTACCATCCAAAGCACCAGAAAATTACAGAAATTGTCACCTGTACCTTACCCTTATTTCTGAAATACCTACATGAATAATATAGTAATTAAGAACATCCATGTTCTAAAATAGTTAAAAACAAGGCAACAGAGATGCTTCAATACATTTTGTACAACCCCCCTCGCTTTTCCCATTTTAGCTAAACTAAAAGTTAATTTACTTCTACCACAGATTACACAGCTGTAAACAAGCAGTGGTACTTCGTATTAAGCTAAAGAACAAGAGAAACAGAAGAGGGGGGAGAGCACAGTAAAGGTAAACATGATCCTTCTCTGCACCTTTTCTTGTGTTCTCTCAAAAGAGAGAGAACTCTTTTGTCTCTTCCGTATGCATATTTCACTCACTACCAATGAGATCACAACAACAAATAACCTTTTACCACTATCCGTATGCATATTTCACTCACTACCAATGAGTTCACAACAACAAATAACCTTTTACCACTAAACCAGTGGATACACTTTCCTGAAGAAGTACACACCCCTTTGTTAAATCTCATACCCTTTTTTAAACTTTTTTCCCTAGTCATCCAACCAGCACAAATCAGTGCAGGAAGCAGTTTCTCTTGCAAAATATTTTGCATCTACTTCTATACACAGCTGTTCATTTACCACTGCTGACTTTTCACAGCCAGTGCTGCTCCTTTTATGCAGGCAACCGATTGCTGAAGCTTTAATTCTCATTAACATGCAAGAATTTATTTAATCTTTTGCATACTGGCTGGTCAAATCCAGAGTCACATAATGCAGTATGTAGTGTTTGTAATGCCTTAAAGGCATGCCCACACAAGGGCAAGTTCAGAGCACTACTTCTGAAAAGGGATTAGGGTAACTTAACACAGGATAGCCATATACCATAATTAGAGCATCCATGTACGGCATTATTCAGGGTAACTATGCACTTCATCCCTACACCCATTCTGGAGCCACAGACATAGGCAAGTACAAACATGTGCTTAAATACAGGCATATACCAGAGGGCTTATTAGCATATGCCCTCTTAGTAAACCTAACTGTGCTCATTAGACAGAATTATCAACAACAGTTTTTTCCCCTGTTAAAAGATGGTCATTATTAATAAAAAAAAGCCAATCATTACTTTCCTTAAAAGGAAATTAACTCCTCCATGTTCTGAGCACTGAAATACTAGTTCTTGGGCTTACAAGTGCAGAATTTCTTTTTTTACAAAACTTACCACTCTATTTGTGCGGATTTAACAGAAGATGGCACACACTACGAAGCGGTTTTATTGCAAAAGGCAATCAGAAGGCAAGCAATGCAATTGTTTCTTGATCACAGTTATCAGACTTCTATGTGAAATTGTGTTTTTAGACTCCTTCACTGTCTGATCTTGACTGTTGCCTCTTGATCTTTTCACTAGAAAACAAAAATATTGAAAAAACAGTTAGAGAAGCACACATTAACATCATGGTTTTTTCACATTTGCCTTAAGTGTAGCTACAGTCACAGCTGGCTTATTATTTAAGCAGCGGGGCAGCTTTAACCTCCAGAATTCAAACACCTCCTTAATTGGATTACACGTGCATTTTACCAGCCTGTTTATTCCACTTTTTTTTATTACTATGTTTCTACTGGCAAAAAAAAAATAGTAATAAAAAGGTTGATTAAGCTATTTACAAACAAAATCGCCTGCGAGAACCCAAGCATAAGACAAGCCGTTCCCTTTCTGCATTAATTAACTCCACTCACAGGAGGAGCTGGGTCAGGGCGTCAGGGTGAGGGGGGGAATCTACCGGTACGGTGACCCCCGGCCGAGCCACCCAACGGGCCCTCAAGGCCCGAGCCGCAACCACACGGCGCCGTGACGCATTTTTATTTTTTTTTAGTTTTTTTTTTTTTTATCAGCCACTGGGCACGACGGGAAGAACCACGGCGCCCGACGAGAAGTGCGCCCCGCCCGGCCGCGGCCCTTCGCGGCGGCCGCCGAGGCCCCGCTTCCCGTTTATTGTGCTACGCGATAAGGCGGATAAGGGTGGAAAAAAAAAAAAATATATAAATAAATAAAAGAATCCAACGATGAAATAAAACCAGGCCGCAGGCGCCTTGAAGGCCTCACAGCGCTCCGCCGCCGGCCGAAGCGCCCC